ATATATACATACATACATATATCTCCTAATGTTGGGAATATAGTTCAGTGATAGAATGCTTACCTAAGCATGTATAAGGCCCTAGGGGTGTGTATGTGTGTGTGTATATACATACATATGTATGTGTAAATGTATGTGTATGCATACATACACATATATGTGGGTAGTAGAAAACATAGGCTGGAGATGTAGCTCAGAGGTAGATCTATAGGCAGGAGGCCCTGATTTCAGTCCCTAGCACAACAAGAAAACACAAATAGTGATCTATTTCAAGAGGTCTTTAACTATACAAGTGCAACAGGTGTGTTTTCTTGGGGCCTCAGGCATCATAAGTGTTTACTGTTGCTGGGTGTGGTGGTACACACCTTTAAACCCAGCACTTGGGAAGCAGAGGCAGGAGGATCTCTGAGTTGCAGGCCAGCCTGGTCTACATAGTGAGCTCTGGGGGTTTAACATTTGTATGAAGAGTTTGAGACAGCAAAAGTGATGAAGGTGTAATCAAGTAGGTAGATTTATAGTTTTTAGAATTCAAAAGCTAAGAGTGAGAGATAGAAGAAAGAGGCAAACAGGAGATAGAGAACAAATCCATCTGTAGCCTTATTTTGCAGAGTTTAAAAGAAACAAAACTAGCCAGGCGTGGTAACGCATGCCTTTAATCCCAGCACTTGAGAGGCAGAGGCAGGCAGATCTCTGTGAGTTAAGGCCAGCCTGGTCTACATAGTGAGTTCCAGGACAGCTGGGGCTACAGGGAGACCCTGTCTCAAAAAGACCAAAAGAAAAAAAAGAAAAGAAACAAAACTAAAGCAAATTTAAATCTAAGGAAACAGCAAGTTAATTTTAAATAATAAAAAAGGACTTCATGAGCCAGGCACAGTGCCACACCTGTAAACCCAGCTTGTGGAAGGTAGAGGCAGGAGGATCAGGAGTTCACAGTCATCCTTGACAACATTCAGAGTTTGAGGCAAGCCTGGGCTACATGAGACTGTCTGAGAAAACCAAATTAAACCTATGAATAATCCAAAACAACAAAAAACATTGTAGCTTTATGAGGAAGGACCTGGTTTCAGAAAAGAAAAATTGGCAGTGATAGATAGGGTTATTAACAGATGAGAGAGAAAATTGATTGGAAAAAATGGAGTTCATTCAGAATAAAAGTGGAAATGGGAATTGGGAGCCTCATTATTAAAAGTGATGTACCATGTAGTCATTACTAGGCTTGGTCTATTTTTTTCATATTTGGCATTTCTGGCACATTCTGATTATTGATTGTTGCACACATCATCATACCAAAGTTCCTGCCTTTGTGAGTTGAAGATTCCATTGGGTAGAAGACAGAAAATAAACATGTATGTGTCAGGGTGTGTATGTATGTTGCGTGCATGCGTGCATGTTATTTAAGAGGTGATCAAGAGAGGAATCATTGGGGCTGGAGAGATGGCTCAGTGGTTAAGAGCACTGGCTGCTCTTGCAGAAAACTCAGGTTTAAATCCCAGCACTGATATAGCAGCTAACAACCATCTGTAACTTCAGTTCCAGGGGATCTGATGCCTCTTCTGACATCCGTGGGCATTGCATGACACGAGTGCACTTACATGCATGCAGGCAAAACACTCATACACATAAAATTAAAAAATAAGAAATAAAATATCTTTAAAGTTATTTTTAAAAATTTCTAAAAAGGAGAGGGGGATCATTGAGGGACTGGAGAGATGGCTCAGAAGTTAAGAGCACTTGCACTACAATTGTAGCGACCAGAGTTCAGATTCCAGCACCCATGTAGCAAGGTGGGTACCCTACATATGCCTCTAACTCCAGCTATGGGACTAGGGCATAGGAACAGAAATAGTAAGATCACTGGGGCTTGCTGGCTTCCAGCTTAGTCAAGAAAACTTGAACTTCAGGTTCTAGGAGAGGTCCTGCCTCAAAGGATTAGGTGAACAATGATAGAAGTCACCTCATGCTCTCTTCTAGCCTCTGTCTCAAACAGGTACATAGATGCACAGACATTTGCATATACTCACACACACACACACATACACAGAAAAAAATCTTTAAAAAGGGAAGGAAAGAGAGAGAGAGAGAGAGAGAGAGAGAGAGAGAGAGAGAGAGAATGAATCAGGGTGCTGTGAGCTGAGCTGTAGGTGTTAAACTTTTGAGTGATTTGGTTATTTTGTAAACTTGGTTTTTAATCCCAGTGAGACAGGGAGCCAGTGGCAGCTTGGGGCAAAGGAGTGACATGAGCTAGCATACATATTAAAATAATCACATACATGAGCACACATGTACACATGAACATACAGAAATGAATCAGGCTGGAGCTGGGGTGTGACTCAGTGATAGAGTGATTACTTAGTATTCATGGATTCAAGCCCACCAAACAAAAAAATTCACTCTCTAGAGGGCTGGAGAGATGGCTCAGCAGTTAAGAGTACTTGTTGCTCTTCCAGAGGCTCCAAGCTCAGTTCCCAACACCTCTGTCAGGCAGCTCACAACCACCTGTAACACCAACTCCAGGGGATCTGACACCTTCTTCTGGCCTCCAGGGGCACCTGCATTCACATACTCCCATGCCCGCATACACATAATTAAAAATAAGTCTTTAAAAAACTCAGTCTGGATCACTAAATTGGGGCAGAAGTTAGAATACTAGTTGGGAGGTTATTGCAGTCATCCAAGAGGAAGATGATGGTGATAGGGATTAGGGAAGGCAGTGGAGGTGTTATGAAGTGGCCAGATTCCTGATATATTCTGAAGATGGAGCCAAGGTAGGATTTGTTGCTGTATGTCAGGAGAGGGGCTAAACATGTCTGCAATATTTAAAAAATATATTTTTTATTTATTTTTATTTTATGTGTATGAGTGTATTGCCTGCATGTATGTAAATACACCTGTATCATGTAATGCCCATGGAGGTCAGAAGAGGGTGTCAGATACCCTGGAACTGGAGTTATGGGCCATTGTTAGTCCCCATTTGGGTGCTGGGAATCGAACCAGCCAGTGCTCTTAACCGCTGAGCCATCTCTCCAGTCCTTGTCTGCAAGATTTTTGACCTGCATGTCTGGATGGAGATGCCATTCCCAAGAAGCAGTAAATTAGGGAGGAGCAAGGCAGGAGGGAGAAGCTGTGTCTTTTGGGATGAACAGGGGTGTCTACTGACCAAGTGAGAGTGTTAAGAAGGCCAGTGAGTATGTACACCTTTCGGGTTAAGGGAAGTTATTCTGCAGAGCTAGAGATTTGAAGTTGGGAGTCATTGCTTGTTTTCGTGGTATCTAAACCTTTATAGAAATGTTCCTGTGTCAAAATATTTGTTTTTGTAAATAGCCTACTTTATATTTATTTACTTGTTTATTATGTGTATGAGTGTATTGCTGGCATGTATGTAAGTGCACCCTTGTCATGAAATGCCTGTGGAGGTCAGAAGAGAGCACTGAATGAAACTGGAGTTATGGATGGTTGTTAGCCACTATGTGGGTGCTGGGAACCAATCCCAGGTCCTCTGCAAGAGCAGCCATTGCTCTTCACTGTGGGGCCATCTCTCCAGCTCCTAAACTATATACTTTAAAGACAATTAGAGGAATTGGTGTTTTTTGGTTTTGTTTTGTTTTGTTTTCTAATTGTGTATATGCCTGTGCAGGTGCCCGAGAAATCCAGAAGAGGGCACTGGATCCCCTGGAGCTGGAGTTACAGTTGTGAGCTGCCTGTCATGGGTGCTGGAACTGAACTTGGGTCCTCTGGAAGAGCAGCAGGTGCTCTTAGCTGCTGAGTGTCTCTCCAGCCCCTGGGTTGGTTTTTGTTGGTGGTTTGTTTTTTGTTTTTTCAGTACTGGGAATTAAAACAAGGGTCTTGTGCATGCGAGTTAAGTGCTCTACCACTAAGCTACAGCCCCAGCCCCCTTCTCACCATGTAATTTTTTTTACTTTATTTATCTTATTATTTTTTATCTTGAGACAGGCTCTCACTAAGCTACTCATGCTGCCTTGAGCTTTCTCTGTAGTGGAGGTGGATCTTGAACTTGATCCTCCTGCCTCAGCCTCCTGGGTAACTGAGAACTGCTGTTTTCAATCCTGTGTGAATCATTTTGTGGAAAAAAACTACATTGCATTTTATTTTTCAAATTACTCCCTTAGTCCTGTGTTAGAATGACTACCTGCCAAATGAGGCTGTAGAGGCTCCCACACTGATGTGTTTCAGTTAGGACTTTTTTACTTTGTGATGTTGGGAAAAGCAGTATGCATTCAATAGGAAGCATACCTAGATTTGCTTGTTTGAGACAGAGGCTCGTTGGGCATGGTGGTGCATGCCTTAAAAAGAGAGAGAGAGAGAGAGAGAGAGAGAGAGAGAGAGAGAGAGAGAGCTGTAAACCAGGCTAGCCTAGAATTTGAGATAATGTTCCTTTATCAGCCTCTTCAATATTGGGATTGCAGGTATGAGCCACCATGCCCTGCTGACCTCCAACTCACTATGTAACTGAGAATGACTTTGAACTACTGAGCTTCTGTCTCTATCTCCAAGGTGCTAGGATCACGGGTATGTGACACTATACCAGGCCCATACTTCAAATTTTTAATTTTAATAATTTCCTAGGCTATCAACACATGGCCCAGTACCTTCTTACCCTACTGGGCAGCTGCACTGAAGCCACAGGTTGACCTGCGGTCAGTCTGCAGAAATGCTTGTAGGTTAGGTTGCTTTCTTTCTTTCTTTCTTTCTTTCTTTCTTTCTTTCTTTCTTTCTTTCTTTCTTTCTTTCTTTTTTTTTTGTCTTTGTGAGACAGGGTCTCCCTGTAGCCCAAGTTGGCTTGGAACTAGCTATATAGACCAGGCTGGCCTTGAACTCACAGAGATCTACCTGCCTCTGCCTCCTGAATGCTGGAACCACACCCGGCACATAGTCACATTTTCATACAGGTATATAATGTATAGTGAGCATGCCTTGCCCATGTCTCCTACCCCTTTTTTCTTACCCTTCCCCCATCCTGTTTGTTCCCTTTGATCCCCTGGACAGTTTTGCTTTTACTCTCATGTCATATATACATATATGATTTTATGTATTTATGTAAAATGTAGGAAGCATAAATGAGAGGAAACAACCTGTTTATCTTACTGAGACTGGCTTAATTTGCTTAATATGATTATCTTTAGTTGCATCCAATTAAATACTTTTCTTGAGAAGAATCTTATGTAGTCCAGGCTGGCCTCAATCAAACTCACTATGAACCTGGGGATAACCTTGAGCATCCTCCTCCCTCCACCTCCAGAGTGCTAAGATTCCAGGCATGCAAGAACATGCCTACTTGATGTGCTGTTGGAGACTGAAGCAGGCTTTGTGTATGCTGCACAAGTATTCTACCAACTGAGCCATGCCCCAACCTCTAAGTGCATTTTTTCACTTAAAATATTTTCAATTCATGATGGATTCATCAGGACTTAACCCCATCACAAATTTAAGAGCATGCATATAGCAGGTGAGTAAAATCAACATGGGTCGTTATACTTATTTTCTCTTGCTATAACAACTTAGTAGCTTGAGACAAAAAAAACAGGCCAGGCGTGGTGGCTTGCCAATAATTGCAGCACTTGGAAGGATGAGGCAGGAGGATTGCTACAAGTTCAAGGCCAGCCTGCGCTATAGAATGGGACTGGTGTTAAAACAATAGAACTATATATATATATATATATACATTTTTTCTTTCTTTCTTTCAAGTCTGGAGTCCAGAACCCTGAAATAAGCACCAGTAAATGAAATCAAGGTGTGGGAGGACCATGTTCTATGCAGAGGCTGCAGGGATGGCCTGTTCCTCACCTCTTCATCTACAAGTGGCTGCTGTAATTCCTTGGTAATGGCTGGATCAGTCCTGATCTCTGCCTTTGAGATCACAGTCCCTTCTTTCCTCCTCTTCTTCCTCTCCTTTTTTCTTTCCTTCTTTCCTTTGTTATTTTTTAATTTTTATTTATTTTACTTTGGTCTTTTTGAGACAGAGTCTCCCTGTAGCCCCAGCTGACCTGGAACTCACTATGTAGACCAGGCTGGCCTCGAACTCACAGAGATCTACCTGCCTCTGCCTCCTGAGTGCTGGGATTAAAGGCATGCACCACCATGCCTGGCCCCCTTCTTTCCTTTTTTTAAATTTTATTTTATTTATTATTTTTATTTTATGTGTATGCATCTATTGCCTGCATGTAGGTAAGTGTGCCCATGTCATGCAATGTCTGCAGAGAACAGAAGAGACTGTCAAATTCCCTGGAACTGGAGTTATAGACAGTTAGCTACCATGTGGGTCCTGGGATTTGAACCCGGGTCTTCTGCAAGAATAGTCAGTGTTCTTAACTACTGAGCCATCTCTCCAGCCCCTGGTTTTATTTGTTTTTTTTTTTGGGTTTTTTTGTTTTGTTTTGTTTTGAGACAGGGTCTCCCTGTAGCTCCAGCCTGCCTGGAACTCACTATGCACTATGTGGACAAAGCTGGCCTTGAACTCACAGAGATCCACCTGGCTCTGCCGCCCAAGTGCTGGGATTAAAGGTGTGTGCCACCATGCCTGGCTCTTTGCTTATCTTTTTTTAAAGATTTATTTTTATTTATTTATTTAAAATTTTTTTTAATTTATCTGGTGGAGCACATCAGTTGTCAACTTGACACACCTGGGTAGAGGGAACCTCAATTGAGGAATTTCCTCTATTGGATTGGCCTGTGGCTGTATGTCTGTTGGGCATTTTCTTGATTGCTGAGTGATGTGGGAGGGCCCAGCTCTCTGTGGGCAGTGTATCACTGGGCAGGTAGTCCTGTGTTGTATAACAAAGCAGGCTGAGCACAGGCCAGCGGGGCAAGCCAGTTAACAAGTGTCTCCATGGTCTTTACTTAGGTTCCTGCTTGAGTTCCTGCCCTGGCTTCCCTTGATGAAGAACTATACTGCAAGCCAAAATAAACCCTTTTCTCTTCAAGATGGCTTTGGTCACAGTAATAGAAAGCAAACTAATACAATTTATTTTATGTGTGTGTTTTACCTGCATGTATGTTAAATGCCCCCATGTTGTTCAATGCCTGTGGCGGCTTGAAGAGGGTGTCAGATGCCTTCATGTGAATCCTGAAGATAAAATTCAGATTGGTAGTTTTGGCAGCTAATGCCTTAACTTGCTTAGCCATATGACTGGGCCCCCCAGCTACAAACTCTTAATAGCAAACATAAACACAATTCCTTTGTTTTCTTTCTGGCAACATTTCAAATTTCCCAAAGAAGTGAAATGAGATAATTACATATTATCTCTGTTGTGTTATTCAGCTAAGAAATACTATGTCCGTGGAGCTGGCAAGGTGACTCAGCTGGTAAAGGTGCTTGCCACCAAGGCTGATGACCTGAGTTCATTCTTCTTCCACCCAAATGGTGGAAGGAGAAGACTCTCTAACTTCTGCACTTGTACCGTGATACAAATGTGTGCGCACTAAATAAGTGCAAAAAAATGTTTTCAAAGAAACACTGTGCCCACACTTGTGCAGACAATTGCTAGGTCACATATACTTTGACATTAAAGTAGAGTAAGATGGTTATACCATGCCTCCCCTTTAAGGACACTCGGGATCAAAGTCAACATCTTTCTTTTCCTTTGGATGTGTGTTTGATTGCATGTGTGTGAATGAGGCCAGAGGTCTCCTCAATTACTTCTCCGCCTTATTTTTTGAGACAGGGTCTTTGATTGATCATGGAGTTCACCAATTTGTCTAGACTGGTTAGCCAGTGAGCTCCAGGGATGCACCTGTCTTGCATCCCCCAGCCCTGGGTTGCAGATGTGTATTAGCATGCTTGGCTTTTTTACATGGGTGCTGGGATCTGAACTCAAGTCTTCATGTATGCTAAGCACACACTCTACTACTGAGCTCTATGCTCCCAGCCACTGGATTAGGATTTTCTTCCCTAAAGAATGTCAGTACTAGGCCTGAAGTGAGGAGCGATGACAACTGAATGATGGTCTTACTGTTTTAATTTGTCCTAGGGCATTGTGCACCTAATAGGTGTTTTCTCAGGTATGACACAGACACAAGC